GGAGCCATCTCTCCAGCCCTGAGTTTTCCTCTGCAAGGCCTGACTTCTGAAGATGATGCTTCTTCCCCTCTGAGAAATCTGTCACTTCTGCACTGTGGAGTCCTTCCGTCCCCAGTGACGGAAGGCTGTTGAGATGTCACCCTCAGAAACAATAGTAGCTGTGACAGTAAAAGGCAGACGGAAGACAGTGTGGCCTGAATCCCGCATCCCTGCTTCCACTTCAGGGTTGACAGGCTGTGCTGAGGCTAGTGGCCTGGGCTTGGGACATAGCTGCTAAAAGCACTTTGGCTCCTCCTGAGTGGGCCTCTGCAATGACCAGTGACTGTGAACACTTCAGACAGGCACAGCTGTGGGCGAGCGCAGGACCATCTTGCTGCATTTCTGTAAAGAAAACAAGCTGACCATGTATTTGGAGCCAAAGATGCTGAAGCATGTCTCTTCAATTTAAAGTGGTTTCTAATTGTTTTGAGGCAACATGGACGCAGTCAGGCAACAGTGACTAGGTTTTGTTTAATTTTATACAGGGTTTTTTTCCCCTGTGCTTCTACAGGATCATGTCAGTGTATTTATTATTGTTGTTTCATTGTTATGAAAATTATAATGTTACTTATCATTAAGTAGTCTGTAATGCATTTAACATGAAAAACTGCCATTTCATATAAGGAGAGCAGTAAGGGCAGCTGGAGGAAATGAAACAGGGACGCTGCAGAGCCAGGAATGGACCCCTCCTTTTGCTGTCTTTGTTTCCTGAGACAGGTTCTCACATGCCCCGGCCAGCCTCTTGAACTCCATGGACACCATGCCTGGCAGGATGCTTTGACTTTACGATGGCATGACTTGATGACCGTTCATCCCCCCGCATACCTTTCAGCCTGTGAGTGATCCTGCTGTAGGAAAATCTAAAGAACCTGTATCACTGCTGTCCCTGGGGCATCCCTGCCCTGGATTCCTTGGAGAACTCAGCCACTTGATGTTGTTGGCAGAGACCACTTCCGTGCTTCCCCTCATCCCTGCGACCCTGACTCTCCCCAGCTGTTAAACCTGCTACCCATCTTGCTACAGGTGGAAAACCAAGTCTCATAGTTACTTCCTCATGTTCCTGTTAGAGGTTGGATGTGTTTACAGATTCATAGGCTGTTCGATTTCTTCCTCTGCTTAACTGCCTCTTTACCCTCTGCTCCTAACCCTCACTCCCCAGCTGTGCGTTTTTTGACTTTGAAACTTAATCTGAAAGCCCTCCCCTTCCCCCTTTTGAGGATTTTCATGTTCTGAGCTCTTGCTGTGATCATCTGTCTCTTGCTGTATTTTCTTTTTCTGTCTTTTTCTGTTTGCTGTGATTTTCCTCTCACTCCTATCACTGGAATGATAGGGATTGTCTTTATTCCCATTTCTTTTTTCTTTTGGTTATTTTCCTTTTAGGTTTTATTGTTCCTCTTCCTCCTTCCCTGCCTCCCCACCGAGAGAGAGTCATGTAGCACAGGCTGGCCTCAAACTCCCAGTGCAGGCTAAGATGGTGTTGAATTCCTGCTCCTCCTGCTTCTGCCTTCAAGTTCTGAGCTGACAGGTGAGCAGTCATACATCCGGTTTCTTCCCTGTTTTCCTTTGTTTACATATTCTGATTGCTCTATAACCATCTTCATCTATGATTATATTGTCTTTAGCTTTTGCTTTTAATGTATTTAAATACATTTCCCTGGTCTAGTCTTGAGAATAAATCAATATTTATAACCTACACCCTTCTAATAGATACTAGAATTATTTAATTTCAACACAAATCAGGATTTCAACCAGTTATCACACATCTGTAATCCCAATACTCAAGAGGCAGAGGAAGGAGGATTGCTGCAAATTGGAGGCCAGCCTGACCTACATAATGAGTCCAGGCTAGCCCAAGCTACAAAGCAATATCCTATCTTAAAAGGAACAGTAATAGCCTCTGTTATTATCATAACCTTTAACTAGAACATTCTCACAGAACAGGAACCTGAAGCTGAGCATAGCTACGGGAAGCAATTTGCATCCTGGGACAGCATGTAGTCTACAGTGCTGGTCCTATGGGAATGGAGAGCCATTCTTGAGAGACAGCTCCAGTCCTGTCACGATCACAAGGATGCTTTCACATGCCAAACACTGCTTGTTTATCAGTGCTGTTCCTTACTCTGATGCTGTTCCCCTGGCCTGACACCACTGTGGAAGACACCGAGGAATCAGCAGAGTACTATCTTAGGCGAGAGGGCAAGCATGTAGCTCATAGAGGTATGTTAGGAGCCCCTCCTTCCTTCATCCCTTGTCCAGCATGTGTTGAGTGGTCTCCACTTAGCTGTATAGTAAGTCCATTGTGTAAACAAAGTAGGCATGCTCTCTCTTGGATTCTACTTTTACCTCTGTGAGTGTGTGTGTGTGTGTGTGTGTGTGTGTGTGTGTGCAGGCATGTGCTCGTGAGCTCAAAGTTGTGTGGAGGCTAGAGGTCAGTGTTGGACATCCTCCTCAACTGGTCCCCACCTTATTTTTTGAGACAGAGCCTCCCTGAACCTCCTATTTCAGCTAGACTGTCTGACAGAAAGCCCTGGAAGCCCAGGGATCTGTCTGTCTCTACCTCCCCAGCACTAGAGTTACAGGTGCAAACCACAGCAGCCAGCCTTTTTTAAAGCACTGCTTCACAGAATTGAACTCAGGTCCTCAGGTTTATGTGGCAGGCACTTGCTGACTGAGCCATCTCCCCAGCCCCTCCGCTCTCGCTTTCTTTATTTTAGTTCTGATCAGTGGGAGAATCTATTGATTAATGCATGGAAGAACTTTAGTGGGGTTGTGACGTCATTTCCAGTCCCATAGAGTGAAAGATCAAGTAGACTCTTGCCTTGGATCTCTTTAAAAAGAGTAAAGAATGCTCATCCAAAATTAGTGCTCTGATTCAGTGGAAGGCCTTTAGACACCTGTTTCATGTTGTGCTGAAAAATCCATTATCATCTTCGTCAACTGGCACTTACAAGATCTGCAGTGAGAAGTGAAGGAAGATTCCGGATGGGGCCAAACCTTGAGATGGTGTGTGGCATTGGGGCTTTAGTCTTCCTTTCTCCAAATCACTTGTCACTGGGTGGTGTCTAAGTCCTTCAACAATGGTGTCAGTAGGCTGTTAGCTGAAAGATAATAGAACAGACCTTTTCATTATGGCCCCATCCACCTGGACTTTGCTGAAATTGAAGTGCTTTTTAGGAAGAACAAGAGAAAGAAAGAGATCACCCAAATATATAAAACATCAGCCTTCTAACTGTACAAACTGACATTAGGGTAGATATCTTAAATCCTGGTAAGAAACCAGGATGAGCTACACCTGAAGAAAGCTCATGGCTTAGTGACAAGTGAAGGACTACAAATCCATTGGGTGGGGGGTGTCAAAGCAAGGAGTTTGTCCATGTTTACAAACTCTAATATGTGCATAAATTACATACCTGCACGCACATGTAAATGACCGTGTGGTAACCTGTCCTTGCTGGATCTGAGGGGCTGTGCTGTGTTTTGATCCTCCCCCCTCCCCTTTTCCCCATCACCCCTGCCTGCTGCTTTCTGCATCCACTCAGAGCAGGGCTGGAGACAGTGAGCTTTAGGGACTTGGGTTAGGGCTTCTTACAGCAATTCACACCTTTCCCAAAGAGATTCCTAGGAAACCTCGGTAATTGGCAAATGATGTTTTATTGAATTGGTCTCCTCAAATTGTCACTGGCACAGAGTGAGAAATTGCTATATGCCCTGCCAGCAGCCTCCTGTTGTCCCTGCTCTAAAAGGGCCTCTGTAGACTCTGCATGAAAGGTGAGGCCATTAAGAGTTGTCCCAGCTCTCCGAATGTCTCTTTTCTCCTTTCCCTTCCTTTTGCCTGTGTCGCACCTCCAGCACCTGTCCTCCAGGAACTCATTTGTATACATATTGGAAACACACACACACACACAGAGAGAGAGAGAGAGAGAGGGGGGGAGAGAGAGAGAGAGAGAGAGAGAGAGAGAGAGAGAGAGAGAGAGAGAGAGAGGAATACATTTAAGAATATGGGTTAGCAGTCAGATTTCCTCTTTTCTCTAGGCAGCAGCATTGTAATCTGAGGCAAGCTAATTCTCCATGTCTCCACCTTATAGGGTGTTTACCTTTTTAGAGTTTTACTTACTTTTACTTTATTTGTGTGATTGTCTTGCATGCAGGCAAGGTTTGTGTGCCAAAAGTGTGCAGTGCTTGTGGAAGCCAGAAAAGGGCGTCTGATTCCCTGGAAGTGGAGTTTCAGATGGTTGTGAACCCTCATGTGGTTGGTGGTGAATTCAAGTCCTGAACCATAGCCCTCTGCAAAGGCAGCCAGTGAGCAATCTTCCCAGCTCAATCATGGTGTTTTTGTAACCATGGAATGGGCATATTCATATCCAGCTAAAAACTAGGACCTATCACTATGATGATATATTTTTTATGATTTAATAAAGCTTTCCTGGGAATCAGAATGCAGAGTCAGCCATACTAGTCAAGCATAGAAGCTAGCCAGTGGTGGCACACAGCTTTAATCCCAGGACTCAGGAGACAGAGGCAGATGGATCTCTGTGAGTTCAAGGCCACCCAGGGCTATACAAGAGTGAATCAGTCTAAAAGAGAAACAGAGCTCATGCCTTTAATCCCAGCACAAGAGAGGTATGTAAGTCAGGAACAGGGTCTCTTACTCTGGCAATTAAAATCTCCAGCCATGTTGAGGTCAGAACGGTCCCACCTAGTCTTGCCAAGGTTTTCAGTCATTCTCTTTTGCTTCATGTAGCCCTGGGTGGCCTTAAACTCACAGAGATCCACCTGCTTCTGTCTCCTGAGACCTGGGATTAAAGATGTGTGCCACCACTGCCCAGGTTCTGTGGCTGAATAGTGTGGCTGGCTTTGCATTCTGATCCCCAGGAAAGCTTTATTAAATCATAAACAGCATATCGCCACACATCACAGTGACTGATGTTAGGCACCATGCCCAGCACAGTTGTCACCGTGCTGTCATTTATGGGGAGTTCTGGGCATGAGTACCTTCACAGTGATGTTCGATTAAGGTGCCATGGCCTTCAGTCTAGATTCAACTAGGTTTCCTTGTGTGGGTGGAGGTGAGTAAAATGCATGTGGCTTGCCATTTGCTCTCAAATGAGTTCAAGTCCTGAGAACAGCTTGGGAACGGGGCTGTAATGACCTCTGGGTGCCCTTTTGGAGGAGGTAAAGTTAAATGTCATGTGCCAGGTGCTGAAACCTCCTGTGAGGACAGTAAGTGGGGAAGCTGGGCCTTTGAAGATCCACCCTGGTCCTTGTCCTTCTGGTATCCCCTGCAGTGCTGTTCCTGAAGCTTTCTCTTTGGAAGAAGGTGGGCAGGGACTGCCGACGGGCGCGATTCCCCACAACACCGGAACAAAGGGAAACTTGATGGTCTCTGTCCAATGAGTTCTCTTTGTTCCCTTTTTAAGATTAAGATTTCTTTATCTTTATGTGTGTGGGTGTTTTTGCTTGCATGTATGTATGTGTGCTATATGCGTGTGTGTAGTATCTACGGAGTTCAAGACAGTGCCAGATCCTCTGGAACTAGAGCGGCAGGCAGTTGTGGGCTGCCATGTGGGTGCTGGAAGCTGAACATGGGTCCTCTGAAAAAGCAGCCATTTTTCTGAACTGCTGAGCCGTCCCTCCAGCGCTCCCTGTTCCCCGCCAGTTGTAATGGGCTCTAGTTTTCTGTTTTGCTTCCGAGTTTCGACCTCAAAGAAATAAAGCCTGGAAGTCAGTGTGGATGCCCAGGGAGAGAGCACTGATCATGCTCAGGTGGAGGTGCCAGTCGATTGGGAAGGGCCTGTCCTCCAGTTTTCAAACTTGCGCTTTTGAATTGTGTATGTATTTTTATTTTATTATTTTTGGTAACTTCATTTATGATACTGCATTTACATCGTGTTCCCCTTTTCTCTCCTCCCACCAACTCTTGGCATGCCTCCACCCTGTTCCCTCTCGAATTCATGGCCCCCTGTCCTTTAACTATTGTGTGTGTGTGTGTGTGTGTGTGGTTAGTGTAGCTTGTATGGATATGTTTTTTTATTTAAATTAGAAACCATCTTGCTTCACATGTCAATCCCAGCTCCCTCTTCCTCCTCCTCCTCCGTCCCCTCCAGTGTGGATATGTTTTAAGGGTTGACCAGTAGGGGTTGGATAAGCAAGTAGGAGGCTCATCCCTGCGGAAGATTTATTCTCCCTGTCAGTATTGTTAGTTTCCTAGAGTTCTTCATCTAAGGGTAAGGCCCCATGATATTTCCCCATCCACGTTGGCATGTTAGCTGGTGGTGTTATTGTGCGGGTCTCATTTCAGCAACCCGTTGTTGAGATTTCATGGGTATAGATAGCTCCTTGTCATGTATAGAAGACACTACATCGTAGCAGATGTCCTAGTCCTCTGACTCTTAAAATCCGCCTCCTTCTTCCTTGATGTTCCCTGAGTCTTACGTGTAAGGATTTAGTTGAAGATGTGTAAATTGGAGTTCGATATGCCACAGCAAGTTGTTCTGTGCATCATGATAATTTCTTTAATGGCTCCCATCTGCTGGAGATGGAAACTTCTTTGATGGGGGTGACAGCTACATTAATCTGTGGGTATATGAGTATTTAGACTACAGCTAGGAATTGTGCAAATTTTTGCAAAGTGGCAGTAGTGGGCTCTCCTGGGTTCCATGACCTCACCAGCCACGGGTAGTTGCTAGGTTGACAGTGCCTGGCATGGTTTCCCTCCTAATGAGCAAGCCTTAGGTCCACTTAGAGAGTTGTGGCTAGCCCTGGGATAGAAGGCCACACTGCTCCTTTAGGGTGTGTTGGTGGGCTGGCCGTTGTTGTGGATTGTGTGCATCATAGCTGGGCAGAACCGTTGGCTGCTATTATCCATTGGCAATTTGCATAGCTCCTTCTGGTGCTATGAGAGCCAGTCCTCAGGGAGGAGGCTTTGGTCAGAGGGAACAAAACTCTCTCCTGGAAAGTCCAGATTTGTGATGGGCCACAAAAGCTCTCTTTTTTTCGAGGTTGAACATAGCCTTAGTGATAGACAATGATAGCGTCTTAGATGTACCACATCCTGGATTGCAGGTGAAGGGTCACACACTTCCCATGCTGCTGAGAAGAGAGAGAACTCTTCCTACAACTGAGAAGACCCAGTTTTCTACACTTTCAGGAACTATCTCCTTCTTCCTGCACCATTTAATAGAACAAATGGTTCTCAGTAGCATCTGTACAACCGGGCACTCAACTCCCTGTAATGCACACACGTAGGGGACAAATTTTAGGAGAAATGAAGTTAGAAAACAAGAAAGAAAGCATTCCACCACACAGGTTACACAATTTGTGTAAATGCCAAAGAAGCTATCAAAAGCTGGTAGTTAAAGTGCTAATAGATTTACCAAAATTTTTGCCCATCCAAGGTGGAAGGATTCCAACCTTTATGAGTAGAAATTCTCTCTCTCTTTCTCTCTCTCTCACTCTCTCTCTCTCTGTGTGTGTGTGTGTGTGTGTGCATGCACATGCATTCCTGTTTATAGAGGCCAGAGGTCAACCGCTGGTGTCAGAGCTCAGAGAATATCCATCTTGTTTTTATTGAGTCAGGGTCTCTCACTGGTCTGGATCAAGGCTGGCTGGTGAGCAAACCCCAGGGATCTGCCTGACTTTGCTTCCCAGCTATGGAATGGCAAGCTCAAACTGCCTACCACACCTGGAATTTTACACATATTCTCAGGGTTGAATTTAGGCCCTAATGTTTACACAGCAATCACTTTATCAACTGATCTACCCTCTCTACCTGCTGACTGCAAGCCTCTCTCCCTCCCTCCTCTCCTCTCTCTCTTCCTACTTCCTCTTCCTCCCCCTCCCTCTCTTCTTTCCCTTCCTTCCTTCCTTCCTCTCCCTCCCCTCCCCTTCTTCTTTTCCTTCTTTCTTCCTTCCTTCCCTTCTTTCTTCCTTTCTTTCTTTCAAGATCGCATAGATGAACTGGGAATGGAGAAGATGACGGTAAATTGACCAAGAAGTACTAGCGAAGGATTGAACGGGGGTGTGTGATGGAGTTTGGAGCCTGTACAGTGAACTTCCAACAGGCAACACCCATTCATTCATTCGTTCATTCATTCACTCGTTCATTTATTTCCATGCATTCATATTTCTAGCTGACACTATCAGCTAAAACTTATAACCACAGTCATTGAGTAGAAAGGGGAAACTATGATATTGGCTGTGAGATCAACTCTGAGTGTTGTGGGGGAAACTCCTCACAGGATCGTAAAGTGTTTTCTTCTGAGAAAAACAGGACTGAAGAAAATGCTGTGCAGTTGAGATCATTAACTTGTAGGCAGGAGGCGTTGCTTATAAAGCTTATCGGTGCTGAAGGAGAAAGGACAGTGTCTCTCGAAGCCCACTAGGAAATCGGCTGCTGTGCCTGTCACTAGGAAGTCCAGGCTCCACTTCCAGGAGACAGAGGCTCCCTGAGTCCCACGCCTTCATGGCGTGGGTGTGCTCTGTGCAAGAAGCCGTGCACCCAGAAACACACTGCCATTGATCTTCGTCTTTGAAGTACAGATTCACCCACAAGTGACTCAGACACTTCAAAGAAGTGGCAACCCCATAGGATAAGGTCGTTACCTTGCAGTAGAATTTAGTTTGGAAATTAATCAACCATCATGCAGGATAACCTTTGTCATTCCCTGCCCACCTTCCTTACAACTAATTTCAAAATAAGTTCTTTTTTGTTTATTCAAGAAGTTATATGAAAAAAAAATCACCTCTGGTCACCCTCACAGATTTTGGAAATATATCTGAGGCTTGTGGTTGGAAACTCTCTTTTGGTGATCTGCTGGTATCTTGTAGTCTTCGCAAAGATGAGAAGATGAGACCTTCACTTCGTAAGTACCTCAGATTGTATTTTAGGTTCCAGAGATGACATAATATAAACACGAGTTTACATAGTTCTTCTAATGGTGTTAATATTTGGACCAGAGGAATAATAAGCATACAGTCGTTGACTATTTTCAAAAATGTGTGAACATGTTCCATGAATTTCACCTGGATATTTAATGACAAATAGGAAAGTCGGTTTGCATTTTGGTGTAGATGCCCAGTTGCACAACATAATCATAACCAAGCAGCACTTGTTCAGTGTGAGGGAGAAGTCATTTGGAGACTGGAGTGTAGACAGCTTGACTAGCCCAAGACCAACTTAATTCCTAACACTAGTAAAAATAAATTAATAAGATATGATACATGTTTTCTGTCTTTAATAAATTATACTGTTAAACTATTTGTAATCCTTATACGTATTTGGACTGGACAGAATATAAAATGAAAAGATGAAGACTCTCTCTCCCCCTCCCTCCTCCCTGTTTCCCTCCTCCCTGTTTCCCTCCTCACTCACTGTATTTCATTCAGTACTGTCCATCCAGGTGTTTGTCTTCTTTTTTACACTTTCATGTCAACGAATAACTCACCACAGATATCCACCAAGAATCGCACTCTACGAAATGTAGTTCATCCTTCTAGACCTGCAGTTAGATCCTCTCGTCTGCCAGGAAGGATGTGCCCCACACAGTGCAGGCAGCCACATTTCATTTTTATGCAGTGTCTTCCGTGTTCTTTTGGCACTTGGCTCGTGTTTCAGAATGTCCATATCTGCTAAGTCATCCCCACTGGCCCCTCTCTAGGGCACGGTTTATATCTGCACTTCACATGGTCCTTCCTGACTCCTTGGCCTCTGTCCAGCTTCTGAGCGGGGGAGTTAGTTTTCTTAAGAGTATGACCCGAGGTAGGCCCTGTTCCAGTGGATGGCTCTACTCCCATAACTATGTGGGCAACACAAATTGAACTTGGTGAGTTATTTTAAAAAAGAGAGAGAGAAAGAAAGAAGTTGGAAGGAATGAGGAGTTGGGTGTGGATCTGGGAGGAATTAGGGGGAGGAGTGGGAAGTGAATAGGGTCAAAATACACTGTATGGAATTCTCAAAACTATTCTATTTTTGGAAAAGGAGTTTCCTTAGGGGTAGCAGGAGAGAAAACTGATGCAAAGATTCTCTGTTTCTGAGATGGTGACCTTGTGGCAAGCGCTGGGGTTGTCAGCCAGACAAGGACTCCAATCCACAACCTCAAAGAAATAAATTCTACCAGCAACGGGAGGGTGGTAGAGGTAGATTCTGCTATGTGCACCTGCCTGAGAGCTCAATCCAGCAGGACGCATTGGCTTCAAGACGCCCCAAGCAGAGAACTTGATCCTGAGATATTCGGTGGGTGCATTTTAAAGCTCTCACACGCATGAGAACTCTTAAGCAACAGGATAGTTACACGCGGGAGTGTGGACACGGAGCCCTGGAGGGGTTAGGTGGGAGCTGCTTCTCTGTGTGCATCAATTCTCATCCCTGGCTTCCGGTGTCTTATTACGCGTGCACACCTCCTATGAAAGAAGGGGTTCTGGCCCCACAGTCTCACTCTCCCTGATTCCAGAGGCTTGTTTACTGGGTGTGGGGACGATCTGGCCATGACACCTGTCATCCCATTGGTCGCCAGGGTTGATTTAGCTGATGTGTCTGGCGAGGCTGGTGTCCCCTTCCTCGCCATTCTCTGTTTGGCTCTCCAGAAGCTGCGTGTTCGGTCGGAGAGGATGAGTTTCCCCACATGGAGGAGATCGGGTGCTCAGTCATGGGTATACGATATCCGCACACACACCCCATTGCCAGGGCTTCCAGACAAGCTCTCGAAGCCTTGTGTGTGACGGTCCCCTGAGTGAAGTCTTAGAAGATTTATTTTGTTTAGTTTGTGCGTGTGAGTGTTTTCTTGCACACACACACACACACACACACACACGGGACTGGAGGTATACGTGGCTGTAAGGTGCCATGTGGGTGTTGGGACCCCAACCTTACATCTTCTGCAAGGGTACTAAGTGCTCGTAACCACCGGGCCATCCCTCCATGCACTATTCCTCCCATCCCCAGCCCGAAATTTTGATCTAGGATGTGCTCCATTAAACGGCGGATTCAGACGTTTCTGTGGAACATATTGTAGTGTTGAGACTGGGGTCTTCTTTGGTTCAGCAAAGCCCTTTCTGAGGTTATTCGATTTCTAAATTGAATATGAAGCTGAAATTGGTGGCGACCAGAGAGGAAGGCGCCATAAACTAGGGAGATCCGGAAGTGAAGGGTGTGGCCTGGCAGCTGCAGGAAGACAAGTCAGTCAGTGAGCGGTAGGCGGCCAGTGCCTCCTTGCAGGTCCCGATGTTGTGTCTCCTTGACCCCCAAACTCCCATTAAAAGCTCTGGACGCTGCCACGTGACAGAAAAAAGAAGGGACTTCCCTACACGGAGGGATGCGGTGCTTCCTAGGTCAGCATCCTGGTGATGCCAGGCTGGGCCTGCAGCATCTCCCAGAGAAAGATCAACATCTCAGAGTGGTAGCCTGTGAAGCCAGCTGAGGCCCAGGCACAAGCCGAGGGCTGCAGACAAGACACTGTAAGAAATGAGAGAAGCAGGCTGCACTGGCCACAATGTGGCGTGCCTCCGCAGACACGAACCCCGTGGGATTTCTCAGCCTTGGTACAACGGCATCTGGGACCTGGCGGTGCTGGGTTGTGGGGGCCAATAGCAGGCATTCAGGATCTTAGCAGCATCTCCGAGCTCTCGCCATTTTCGAGAGCGCTAGGCATTAGTGAGAAATCCTCCATCCCATACTGCAGACTCTCTGCGGACCCTGGGGGGAAGCCCTGGACTTTGTGGAGCTTACTTGGAGCCAAGGGACTGAAGCACTCTAGGCTGGAAACATCGGCAATGAGCAGCGGCTGCATCCGAGGAGGTGGCTGGCTCCGTTGGTGAAACACTTGCTGTGCAAGCGTGAGGACCTGAGTTTGGCCCCCAGAGGCCTCATATAAAAATCCAGGTCTGGCGATGTGCCCTCGCATCCCCAGTGGAGGCAGCGGGGACAGAAAGATCCCTGGGGCTTGCTGGCCAGCCAGACAAGCCTAGTCACGGGGCCCTGGTTTCCAGTGAGGACCTCATCTCAGAAAGCCGGCTCCTGAAGTTGACTCTGCCATTCACATGCACACAGGTGTGGAGCCCTCCCATTGAAGCACACAGACATATAAACACATGTGCACATATACACTCGTGTGCGTGCGTGCGTGTGCGTGCGTGTGTGTGTGTGTGTGTGTGTGTGTGTGTGCCAGGCATGTATTCAAAAAGTGCTTGCTATCATGTGAAACGGGTGGTTATGCTGTGTGTCCAGGTATTTCTATTTAAATGAAACACGTGTGGGCCCCCAAAATGCTTTTCTCCAGGAAAATAAAAACCCCTCGTGGGGCTGGAGAGCTGACCCAGCAGGTAAGGCCACTTGACGAGAACACAGAGTCAGTTCCCAACGCCCACAGGGTGGCTCACAGCAGCGCTCACTGCCGCTCACAGCCACTCAGGACTCCAATCCCAATGCACCCGGTTCACTCTTCTGGCCCCTGGTAACACCAGGCATGTACAGCGATCACGGAAACAGATGCCAGCAAATCATATCTTAAAATACCTCTAAAGAAATTAAAAACGCTAAGTTCTCTTACCATGGGTTATACTCTTTCCCCAAAATCAAATGTAGCTTCCTTTTTAAAAACCCTGTATATTTTGTTGAAATTGCAGAAATGAGAACTCGAGATGAGTTTCCTCAGTTTTGGCTGCCAACAGGCAGTACTTGCAATTTGGCTCAAGCCACTCGTGTGCTAACTGCCCAACACAGGCACCGCGTTTGTAGCACCCTTGATTAGATGTGACATTTTTCTCACTCTAAGTATTTTGCCCAAATTTGAAGAGACCCACATAGAGGGCCTTATTAAAATCTGTGGAAGCCTGTGGATGCACGGGGATGCCCTTATGTGAGAGAGAGGGCTTTTTTTTTATCCTCCAGGAATCCGGATCCTCCAACTCAAGAAAGAAAGGGAAGAAGACACTGGCACAGAATCACAGTCTTTCTCTTCTCAAAGCCAGAGGAGCCGAGGTAAAATGCAATTGTTTCTATAACGTGCTACACCAAGAATCGTTTCTTCTACCAGACTCTATTTCTTTGCCAGCTGCGGTGAGATGTGGTTAATGCCAACAGATCACACCGATGCCGTGTTTGCAAAGATAGTCACAATAGATTCTGCTTGATTTGCTCACAAAAGCGAGGAATTTCACTCCACTCCCAGCCATATTTGTCTCTGAATTGGGTTTCTAGTAAGCAACCAGGCCCCAGCGGGACAGACTGGAGACAAGTCTCCAAAAGGAGGCTAACCCAGGGGATAATTTTGAAGTAGGCAAAAAACTCAGGATTCCTAAAGAACTCAACTACCAGGAGGTCCCCATTGTGGCCATATGAAGGAGGCGAAATCTTTAACAGGTCTTGGACAAGGTTTCCCTCTGCAGCCTACTCTGGACTTGAACTCAGTATGTATCATATGCTGGCCTCAAACTTGAATGCTGGGATGAGAAGCATCAGTACCATGCCAAACTCTAAAGCTTATTTCACTGAACAAAGAGCATCAACAGAAGTAATTATTCAGATAATTATTAAAGAGGCATAAATACGAAAAAAAAAACTGATCCCAGTGCCGGCATTTGCCTTGCTGGGTTCTTTCCTCTCAGTGAATGCTAGGCCCTCGAACCATACGGTTTATTTTAGGGGACACAGACTCACATCTCCTGGGTAAACCGTGTATGTTGGTTACTTTTCACTGAGGCTAAAATCCCTCCTAAGAAACGACTTACATAACGAAGGGTTTGTGTTAGCTCACACCTCGAGGCCGGCGCATCAAGGAAGGGAGAGCCTGGCGGCAGGAGCTCGAGGCAGCCATCACACTTGTCCACAGTCAGGAAGCGGAGAGAGATGAGCGCTGGTGCTCGGCTCACGCTCTCCTTTCTACTCCGTTAGGCAGCCTAGGCTTCCAGGACCGTGTCAACCAAACGCCCCTGTTGGGCCTTCCCGCTACAGTGAGACCTCTCTGGAAAGATCCTCACAGACACAGCGGAGGTGTGTTTCCATGTTGATCCTAGACCCAGCCACGCTGAGAGTGAGACGCCACTCCCGTGACTCTTGTCCTACAGCTTCAGATCAGACAGTTGCGGGATGAGAATGTGGACGTAGACATGAAGCTGTGCCCAGACAGAAAAGACCAGGTGGGTCTCTGCTTCAGTCAATCGCCACCGTCAAAGTGAAGTATCTTGTTCTGGTTGTCATGGTGAATGGCATTGTTTTGCTGACACCCTTGTTCAATGTTAGATAGACCAGTAAGACAGAGTGGAGACCTCAGAGGTAAATCCACACTTCCATAGTTCACCCATCCTGGGCAGTGTGTCAAGGACACGGGATGGAGAAACAGTCTCTGGGAGATTCTGTTGGGGAAACTGGATAGCTTCATGTGGAAGAACAAAATTAGATCTGTAATTCAGACCGTACACAAAAGTCACCTCAAAATGAGCTAAAAATCCAATATAAGGCCTGATACTAAGAAGCTATGAGGAGAAAATATAGGGGAAAAAATGTTGCTTGACACGGACCTAGGCAATGCTCTGAGAGACTTAACACTCCAAGCCCAAGTGAGAAAAGCAAGGAGACTAATGAAACTCCATCTAATGAAAAGGTTTGCATAGCAAGGCCACCGATCTATAGCCTGGGGAATAGAAGAAAACAAGTGATATCTGACAAGGGGCACTATTAAAAAATGTTTGGAAACACATGCACCTGAATAGCAGAAGAAGCCAAAGAGCCTAAAAGGCATTCCCCAAAAGAAGGCATGCAGACAGGAGGTGGGTGTGAGGGGGATGTTCAAGTTCACTAACCAGCCAGGGAATTCGAATCACAAGATGCTATCTTCTGAGAGAGATATGAACAATGTCGAGAGAATAAAACCCTTGTATACTTTGGTTGAGGTGTAAATTGTTAAAGCTATTTTTGGGAAATGGCATGGAAAAGTCTTCAGAAACTTAAAAACAGAATTACCTGCAATCCAGGCGTACCACTGTGAGCGTGTGTGCAAAAGAAGTGTTACCATTGTCTCAAAGAGCGGTGCACACGCTGCCCATTTCAGCACCAGTCACAAGGGCCAAGATACAGAGTCCACTTGAGTGTTGGCCACAGACGAATGGGTGGGGACATTTTATTAAACATACATGCTGCAATATTATCCCATTTTCATTTTAAGACAGAATCTCCCTGCGCTACCCTGGCTGGCCTAGAATTCTCTAGGTAGGCCTTACTGGCCTCGAACTCTTAAAAATCTATCTGGTTCTGATTCCCGAGTCCTGGGGTTAAGAGTATGTACTACCACAATAACATTTGAGACAACAAAGGTGACTGACGGGCATGCTGTGAACAAGAGAAGGACAGTACTGTTGATTTCTCTTAGAATGGAATATGAACCTGCCAGATTCGTAAAAACAGGAGGGGGGATTCATATGCACACACATGCATATATATACATACATACATACATACATACATACATACATACATACACACATACATAGAAATTGTGTGTATATATGTATATGTGTGTATGCACAAATATACAGAGAGACTGAACGTGTGTATGCCTGTAGATATATACAATATGTAGGAAATATTCCCAGAAGTGGGATTACCAGGGCAAAGGGTAAATGAATTTTCAGTGTGGGTAAAGAATGGCAAATTGCCCTCTGCATGGGTTGTACCGTTTGCACCCCTACCAGCAATGTATCATAACGCCTGTTTCTTTGCAGCCCTGCCAACGGAGCGATTTTAAACTTTTGGGGCTGTGCCAACCTGATAGGTGAGAAGTGCTGTTTCAATGTGATTTCGCTTTGCTTTGCCTCTTATTGTGAGTGAAATGGAGACTCATTACACACCCAGAGGGAGGGATGGAGAGAGGAAGGGAGGGAGGGAGGGAGGGAGAGAGAGAGAGAGAGAGAGAGAGAGAGAGAGAGAGAGAGAGAAATGAACATATACAAGGGCTATTTATATTTATTTCTTCTTGCAAATTATCTGTTTGCGACCTTGCCAGACATATTTCTTCTCTTTTCCTAACAGCTCTTTATATACGAAAGGAATTAGTTCCTTGTTCTTTGTAATGTGACAAATATTTGCAAGTTTTCTCTCTTATTTACTTTGCTTATTTAAAAGTTGCATATGGGGTGGCGCACACCTTTAATCCTAGCATTTGGGAGGTAGAGGCCGGTGGGTTTGAGGCCAGTGCAGTCTTGATAGCAAGTTTGAGGCCAGTCAGGACGACAAACAAACATATACATAAATATGAAATAAAAATTATATTGGAGTGTGTTGATTATCTCTGGGCTTTGTGAATACTGTCAGGGAGTCTTCTCTACTTCCAAAATCACCAAAGAATCCACTCATCCCTTTCATTGCGGCAACAAAGATCCAAGCAGGTATTATTATGCTCGTTTTATGGACAAAGGCCTTTTCCTGACCTTTCTCAGAATGTGACTCATGGATTTAAAAGCGAAAACTCCTTAGGGTTACTTTGGAAACCTTTATGTGGGGATTTGTGATAGCTATGGCTCACGCTTTGTTCCAAACCTCGTTTTTTTAGTGCTAAGACAGCTGTGGTCATTGCAAGAAAGTTTTGCAAAAAATTATCATCTTGGTTGCTGAGGCATGGGGACTTAAGGAAGTTTTAAGTAAACATAAAATTGCCCAGGCTTTGTAAATCTACACAAAAACAAAACAGTATCTCCCAAATGTTATAAACATAGATACTGGAAGCCAAAAGGTTCAGGCCGCCAGGACCAGGCACACCATGTACAGACGTCAGCAAATGTCCCTTTTAATTGAACGCTCAAAAGGATATCTGCAGGCAAGCAGAGAGGCCCTGCGGTGGCCACATTGGACCGCAATAAGGGACACCTGGAAGGCATGGCAGCCCTTCATCCCTGTCTCTCCCTTTCTCTCTGCCAGGGCCAGCAGGGAGGGAGCGAGTGACGTGTCTTTTGCGGACTAGGAAAAATACTCTGTTTGAGAGCCAGTCCCCTGAAGGAGGATGACCCAGTTGAAGCCTTACACCTGCGCCTCTTCCCACTGACCTCCAGCACCCGGGAGGACGCTCTCCACCCGCAGAAACCGGTCAGTGAGAGTCGCAAACGGCAGGTGAAATGGCTTATGCGAGATCACCTTAAACACACAGGTTCTAAGGGGTCCTCTAGAATCTGCTACGATCCATTGGGGAGTGCTGCCTCCAGGGCTGTATGGAGACAGACTTTGAGGCCGATCCTGGGCACAGTGTTGAAATTCACCAGCAATGTCTGCTGGAGACAAAGGAGAGAAAAGTTACATCTGGGCCATTTACACAGCCCAGTGAAGGGTTTACAATTACTTTACAGACTCAGAGCCTGACGAGCATCCAAATGCCACAGTTTTAAAATGGTGTGCTCATTTCCCAAGGGGACGTGTCACTTATCTAGAAGACAAAGTTCCTGTTTGGTTTTATACTTTAACTTCCCCCTAAAGCCCAGTGTTCTGAATTGTATACTGTGCCTCACAAAGCTGTTACGTACTGATACAACAGACTGCACTGTATACAGCAGGCTAGTGAGTATAACAGATTGCACTGTATACAGCAGGCTAGTGAATACAACAGAGTGCACTGTATACAGCAGGCTAGTGAGTATAACAGATTGCACTGTATACAGCAGGCTAGTGAATACAACAGAGTGCACTGTATACAGCAGGCTAGTGAGTACAACAGACTGCACTGTATACAGCAGGCTAGTGAGTATAACAGATTGCACTGTATACAGCAGGCTAGTGAATACAACAGAGGGCATTGTATACAGCAGGCTAGTGAGTATAACAGATTGCACTGTATACAGCAGGCTAGTGAATACAACAGAGTGCACTGTATACAGCAGGCTAGTGAGTATAACAGATTGCACTGTATACAGCAGGCTAGTGAATACAACAGAGGGCATTGTATACAGCAGGCTAGTGAGTATAACAGATTGCACTGTATACAGCAGGCTAGTGAATACAACAGAGTGCACTGTATACAGCAGGCTAGTGAGTATAACAGATTGCACTGTATACAGCAGGCTAGTGAATACAACAGAGTGCACTGTATACAGCAAGTTAGTGAGTATAACAGAGGGCATTGTATACAGCAGGTTAGTGAGTACAACAGACTGCATTGTATACAGCAGGTTAGTGAGTACAACAGAGTGCATTGTATACAGCAGGCTAGTGAGTACAACAGATTGCACTGTATACAGCAGGCTAGTGAATACAACAGAGTGCACTGTATACAGCAGGCTAGTGAGTACAACAGAGTGCACTGTATACAGCAGGCTAGTGAGTATAACAGATTGCACTGTATACAGCAGGCTAGTGAATACAACAGAGTGCACTGTATACAGCAAGTTAGTGAATACAACAGAGGGCATTGTATACAGCAGGTTAGTGAGTACAACAGACTGCATTGTATACAGCAGGTTAGTGAGTACAACAGAGTGCATTGTATACAGCAGGCTAGTGAGTACAACAGATTGCACTGTATACAGCAGGCTAGTGAATACAACAGAGTGCACTGTATACAGCAGGCTAGTGAGTACAACAGAGTGCACTGTATACAGCAGGCTAATGAGTACAACAGAGTGCATTGTATACAGCAGGTTAGTGAGTACAACAGAGGGCATTGTATACAGCAGGCTAGTGAGTACAACAGATTGCATTGTATACAGCAGGCTAGTGAGTACAACAGAGTGCACTGTATACAGCAGGCTAGTGAGTACAACAGAGTGCATTGTATACAGCAAGCTAGTGAGTACAACAGACTGCACTGTATACAGCAGGCTAGTGAATACAACAGAGGGCATTGTATACAGCAAGCTAATGAGTACAACAGATTGGATTGTGAATGCTACTTTGCACATTTTCTTGTAGTCATTCAAAAAATTTATCCAGGGCCTATTTGTGTGCCCAGAACCAGGTTAGATGCTGCAACTATGGAAGAGAATGACTAGAAAATCACAAACATATCAGATTTTCCGCAAATGTACTCAAGAATGTTTTAGATTTGGGTGAAGTACAATGCATTCATGGTTTTGTTTTTGTTTTCATTTGTGACTCGTTCTTTTCTTATATTTTAAAAGGCCAAAGCTATTTTTTACTTAACTAATAAGCATCTACATTGGTTTGTTACTAAGTGATATATCAAATACTCCTGGAGTATGTAGTGTTGAAACCAAGCTAAAACTACCTGTGTCCTTTAATCTCTCCATGGCGTCTAGTCTGAAAACATTGCTTAACTCCAAATCTAAGGCTTTTCTATTGTCCCTTATTTCTTTTTTGCAAAATATTTAAATTTCAAATTTACATTTGAGTCAGTTATCCATTTGGACTAATTCTTGGGTAAAGGTCGGGTTTTAAATCAATCTTCCTTCCCTTCCCCACCCTTTTTTCCTTTCTCCCTTCCCCTCTCTCCCACTTTCCTTTCTTCCTTCTTCCTTGCCACTGGATATCAATTACCCAGAAACAAAGTACTGCAAATGATGCTGTCCCTTCACTGATTGCATTTGAACCTTGATGAAAGCTCAGCTAAGCATAGTTGTGTGGGTCTATTTCCGTGTTCTTGGTTTTGTTCCATTGAACTCTGTCTGTCTGTCTGTCTGTCTGTCTCTGTCTCTCTCTCCAGTGTAACACTTGTCATTATTGTACACTGAAATAGAAGTATTGAAATTGGTTCTGCTCTTTCTTTTCCTCCTCTTTCTCCCCCTCCTCCTCTTCCTCTTCTTGTTTTAAATTGTTCTAGGCCATCTGCTCATCCATCTACATTTTTTTTAATTCCTTAATTTTTTATTCCTGGTACCACTACCACAATTTACAGGACAGTATACCTGATGTAATGAAAAGAAAAAGAAAGACAAAGCTACAACAGATAAAAGACCTCAGGGATGTACGTCTAATTGACACTACACTGCATTGATCAATGGCTGCACTTTTTGCAAACGGTGGCTATGACCGTCCTGAACAAGAAGGGTTTCCTGTTGAAGCTGCAGTAACTTTTCTGACTATGATCATCGTTCCTCCTGCAGCAGATTTTTACAGTTCCCCTAATGCATTTAGGACGACTGTGTCAAAGTAACCTCAGCTTTCCTGACAACTCCTTGCTCTCTCTCCTGCTAAGAACTGTAGCCCTTTTCTGCTGTATTTTTTTAAAACCTTCTGCTACCATATCCACCACTTCCACCACCAGATCCATAGCCACCACTACAGGGACTGCCTGAGCTGCTTCCACCAAAGCTGCCCCCTTTCATGGGTCCATTATTGCTTGCTGTTGTCCACTATAATTTCCAAAGTCACTGTAGCTCCCACCACCACCATAGTTACCTCCACCAAAATTTCCTCCTTCATTGTAACCATCGTATCCTTCTCCACCACCACCACATCCACCACCCTGGTTTCCATATCCTGGTCCACCACCACCATAGCCTCCTCTCCTACTGTAACCAGGACACTGCCATAGCTGCCACCATCACCTCCAAATCCATTCTATCCACCATCACCACCTCCATAACTGCCTCTGCTGCCACCACCGCCACCACCATGGCCTCCTCTTCACCAAAGTTTCCACCACGACCAAAATTACCTCCACCACCTCCAAAGTTTCCTCCACGACCCATAAAGTTGCCAGAGCTACCTCCACGACCTCTCTGCGATCCAGCAGACTGCATCTCTTGTTTAGAAAGGGCCTTCTTCACTTCACAATTATGCCCACTAATAGTGTGGTATTTCTGAACAACAATTTTATCAGCGGTGTCATGATCATCAAAAGTTACAAAAGCAAATCCTCTCTTTTTTCCACTCTGCCTGTCTTCCATAACTTCTATGGTTTCAATCTTGCCATACTTTTCAAAGTAGTCTCTCAGATTATATTCTTCTGTATCTTCTTTAACACCACCAACAAAAACTTTCTTCACTGTTAAATGGGCACCAGGCTTTGCAGAATCCTCTCTAGCAACGGCTCTCTTTGGTTCCACCACACGCCCATCAACCTTGTGTGGCCAAGCACACATTGCAGCATCCACCTCTTCAACACAAGAGCAGGTCACAAAACCAAAGCCCCTGGAACGTTTTGTTTGGGGGTCTCTCATTACCACACAATCTGTGAGTGTGCCCCATTTCTCAAAATGTTCTCTTAAACTATCGTCTGTGGTTTCAAAGCTCAGACCACCAATAAACAGCTTCCTCAACTGTTCTGGTTCCTTTGGATCATGGCCCTCCTCCCCCCAGCAGTGGCGGCGACGGTCGGAGCCCCATCCATCTACATTTTAAGGTAATGTTTTATACATAAAAAAAAACTTGCTGGGGCTGGAGGGATGGTTCAGCAGTTAAGAGCACTTGACTGCTCTTCCAGAGGTCCTGAGTTCAATTCCCAGCAACCACATGGTGGCTCACAACCATCTGTAATGGATCAGATCCCTCTTTTGGTGTGCGTGAACACAGAGCATAGAATACATGAATAAATAACTCTTTTTAAAAAAAACTTGCTGAGGCCAAGTGTGGAGACATGCACCTTCAATCTCAGCATTCTGGGGGCAGAAGCAGGTATATCTCTGATCTATATGTCAAGTTCCAGGCCAACCAGGGCTGTGCAATGGGACCCTGATTCAAATAAACAAAAACAAACCTGAAAAACAAAACGGGAACTTTCTGAGATGTCTGTAAGAAATGCATTAGTGCTATGTTGGTGTTGGGAGGAAACTGATGTCTGTCTTGTTAAGCCACCACGCCAGGACACAGAACACCTCTGCCTCCTCATTTGGGGAGGCCTTTTTGGGATTGCTTTCAGTGGAACTGTGTAATTTTCAACACTCAAGTCCTCTATATACTTTATTAGAATTACAACCAAATGTTTCATGAACAGTTGTGAACAGTACTATATTGTTAGCTTTGATACCCAGGTGTTTATTGCTAGTATGTAAAAATTTATTTAACTGATATGGTTTTATACCCTACTCCTGCCATAGGAATATGGAATCACGTATTAATTCTATATGTATTGTTTATGTGTTTCCTACCCAGGCAACCACGTCACCCAGGTGGGGACAGCTGTCCTTCCTTTCTTATCT